GAAAAACAACAGATCGAAAGAGAGAGCCTGGTCCTATATTAAAATCTGTTTCTGTGTCATGTATACAATGGCTATGTCCATTGCATTTATCATAGTTTTCATGACAGCTCTGTCTACATTCTGGCCAATAATCCATTTCCTTCTGGCCTAGAGCTACTGCAACTTTCCTGAAATCTGCTTCATCAATTAAAAGTTTCATTTCCCTTATTTATTTTGATGTAAGAAATTAAATGAAAAATTGGCTCAACTTTTGTGATTTTTTTTCTGCCATTTTGATATTTTGCCAAAAATTTGAAGTGTTGAATTTTTACCAGAAAAAAAAAAAAAGATGACATTTATTACATTTGCCCTTTGCTTGTTTTCTATTCTACTTGCTCAGCCATCACTACAGTATTAAGCACCTCACAATCTTTTAATGAATTCTCCCACATACATCTCTGTGAGGTAGGGAAGTACTGTTATCTTCATTTCACACGTCTAAATAATTCCCAGAGTCTAAATAATTCAAACAGCGGGTCAGTGGCAAATCAGGGACAAGGACCCAGAGCTCACAGGTTGAAGGCTAGTAACTGCTCTACACTCTTTACTTTCTTGAGACCTGAAGAAGAACGCATTGCATTTTAAGGACTGTCTGTCCTGACCTTGTAGTTCATCCAATAAAAGATATCACCTGCAGAATCTTTGTTTCTTGCATATTCGCTGGACCATCTTGGAAAGATTGCCAACTGTTAGTAAATTTATCAGTAAAAAATCAGGTTAAAATGGCTGTCAGTAAAGTCTGTAATAAATCTTCAACCATCAGGACAAACACTAAGCAGCTGCAACTTGATTGAAGCTCTGACAGGCAGTGCACAGCCACACCACCTGGTTCCTGAGCAGGAGCATCTCACCCTGCAGGGAGCACTATCTCAGCTATGTGCTGCTGCTGCTGCTGCATCCCAGACTGTCTGTAATACTTCTGAGTTATAGGTAGGCTTCTTTAGGGGTCTGTGTTAGCCAAGGGGAGTGAGGCTGAGAGGAATAAGCCTGGGGAGTGGGCTGGCAGGGCAGCGTGGTACAGGGGCATCAGGGAATGTGAACGAGTAGGGGACTTCTGCCCAATGGGGTGTGCCAACACAATGTAAAACCATTGGTGTAGTCAAGCAGCGTTGCCAATCCAAAAACATTCTTTTTTAATGCACACTTTTTACTGGCCGCATCTACATCAGACACTGACTGCGCAGTAGCCCGAGGCTACTGCACAGTAGCTTCACATGACAGAAACAGTGATGCTATGCTACTGTGCAGTTGTCTTAGGCTACTGTACAGTCAGTGTCACAAAAAAGCTGTTCACTGGTGCTACTGCGCAGTAACGCAGGTTACTGTGAAGTCATTTATGACTGTGCAGTCAATGTCTCATATTGATACAGCGACTGACAGCCAAAGGTTTACTTTTTTACTGTGGTTGATGTTAAACCTCTAAATTTGAACCTGACCCTTCTAACTGGGCCCTGGAAGCAGAGCAAGGCCTGGCAGAAGAGCTACATTTACCTTATGTAAAACATATACCAGTAAAAATATGTCAGTAGAAAAGTTTGTCAGTAAAAAGCTTGCAGATTGTCAGTTTAAAAAAAAAATCTTGAGTTGGCAACCGTGCATCACAACTATATCACTTCAACGCTTCTGATAATTCTTCTATTCCGAGTCTGTTGGTAGCTTCAAAAACTTAGACCTGAGGAAGGGCACTTGATGCCTGAAAGCTTGCCCAGCAACTCTCTCTAATATACAGTTGGCCCAATAAAAGGTATCACAAAAAATCTCTGTCACTTATAGACTTTGTGGACTATTACAACTACAACAATATCCCAAAAATATACTGTTAAAAAATATACTGTTTAAAAAAAGAGGCTACAAAATATGTTCCTCTTTCCATCCAAATTCCCATCCCAAGTTCTGTTCTGAGGTACAGGAAAGGTGATATATAGCCCTGGAGCAATCCTTTCTTTTTCTGTGCTGTGTAAGGCCTACCCTTGTCTTACAAACAGAGGAGTCCAAAAATGACACCCTGAACATTATTAAAGCTCTCTAAAACACTTTTAAAAAAGTTTGTCCTCATCTTCATGGTAATACCGATTGTCTCTGACTCAGACCAGTGAAACCTTTGCACAGTACCACAGCATCATTGCCTCATTTAGTCCCCACGCATACAATATACTGTATATGCAAGGACAGCTGTAACACTGTGCCATAGCAAAGAATCAGTAAGCAGAGATGGAAATGACCTCAGGGTCTCTTGAAAGTCCTGCTGCTGTTGCAGGTTTGTTACCTGCCCTATGTTTTATCTAGTCCAGTTTTAAGTGGCTCAGTAGATATGGCATCTGTCACTTCCCTAAGGAAATTATTCCATGGTCTGATAGAGCTACAATGTTAGGAAACATTTCTATATATTTCCCTTTGCTTGGTTGCATCTCGTTACCCCTAGTTCTAATGACACTGAACCACCCCAGACAATTCCTCTCCATTCCTTGCCTTGTTGTATCTTCAAATTCTTGATAATAGCCTGAATTTATTCTATTCCACTTTTATAGCCTAATTCTAAACGCTTATTCATGCTGGAAACATCTACACATGCAATTAATGCAGCTGAAGATATACTCCAGCTCAGTTTGAGCCAGAGTAAACTCATCCCAATGGTACCATCTGCACGTACATTTAAGCACAGTAATTTACTGTGCTGCTGGATTTTGGCACTGGATTTATGACCCAGATACCTTATTCTGGGTGGACCCAAACCCTCAGACTGACCATGACTTCTCCATTCGATAATAGGCAAATGTTATTGATACATAGTGATAGCGGATAGGAATAATGCAGGCAAGGAAAACAAAATAACCCCCATGAGTCTAAGGCTGTCACAGAAGGAAGGTATACTTGGCCAGCATGTGAGCTTCACCCTTTGGTTCTTTCTTGAACATCAGCAGTCTTGGAAGGCAAGGGCCAATTGCCCCCTTCCCCGCCCCTCCCAGTGGGGTGGGTAAGACGAGCTGGTGGTGCACCCTCTGCCCATGATGGCCTTGGGTTTCCCCTTCTAGGATCCTTTGCTGCCCTCCTTTTGTATTCTTTTTCCTTCTGATGACTCTTCATCTCCAGGTACAGTTGATTCTAGGTACTGTGGTCATCATACTGTCCATGGTCTTTTCTGGCAGTGTATTCCTTTGTTTCCCAAACCCATCACATGCACATGTTTTAATTTAGTCATTTGGTCATGTCTTAATTTGGGCATACCCTGGCCTCCTAATTTGGTCCGTCCACCAAAACCGGAAATCCCATGTGCTCTGCAGCTGGTCACTATGACCTGGCTACAACGCAGCAAGCCTATCTTATGTTATGGATTATCAGGGAACAATATAGTACATGTGTTCAGTTTCCCAGCCTGTGTATCTGTTGGCCTCAGACAGGGTGTCTGCCTTGAAGGCTGAGAAACTTTGCCACAGACAGGCTTTTAGAAACCAATTAACCCTTGCCATTCCCCTGGACCATTGTTCTAATGCAATATCTATTCTACCTAGAAGCCGATTCCTAAAAGAAAATCTCTATAGATCAGTTTTTAGCCATCACCAGATACCACTTGTATCTGATGGGACTGCCTGGCAGCACAGTAAATTAGTCTACTGCACCCTAATTGCCATGAATGTGTAGACAGTGGGCATGTCTACATGCTCATTAATGCACCGTAGTTATTGCAGATTAAGTTTAGTACCAAGTTAACTGTTTTTTGCCTAGCACGCTACTGCGCAGTATTATTAGGCTATTGTGCAGTTAGCATCTTGTGTAGACGTGCCCAGTGACATTTTACTGTGCAGCAAATTAGTCTGCTGCGCAGTAAAGCGTCTCATGTAGATGCGCCTGCTGTGTATCTCTTTATACACATGAGTATTCCTCATGAAGTTACTGAGTGAATCAGTGCTGTTCAGCGTGTGTGGGTGAAGTTACAGAATCAAGCCATTTACAGTGCACCCAGACTCTATGCATATACATACATTGTTCTTTTAATCTTTCCTCATAAATCAACCTGCCCATCATTTTTCTGCAGTTCTGTGAATTCTCTCTAATTTTTTGCAGAACTGCAGACAGTATGTGGGTGGTTTTACCACAGCTGGTACTATCACTGTCCACCCTGATTTAGTGACCTTATGTCTCTGAATATGCAGCATAACGTTCTGTTAGCTTTTACAGTGGCCACATTATGGATATTCCAACTGCTCCTTCCTATTCTTCTTACCTTCTAGATATTCTCTTACTCCTAGGAATCACTGGGCGCATCTACATGTGCTATTAATACAATTGAAAAAACTCTGGTGCAGTTTGCACTGGAGTATATTGCTCCTCTATTTATACATGCACCTGGGACTGCAGCACGTTGAGCCAGGCTAGAGCAGCCCTTACTGACAAGGGTCTGGGGAGTCAGCCTGCCAACCCAGGACTGCTCCAACCCTGCTCAAGGTGCTGCAGAGTGGCTGGCTGGGGCACAAGGGTGCTCCAGTGTGGGGCTAGCCAGCAGGCAACCCCTGCACTGAAGCACTCTCATGCTCCAGCCAGCCCTATCAGCGTCTACACATGCACTGTAGTGCAGTAAATAACACCACCGCAAAATAGTACTTGTGTTTACAACTACTAAGCTATGGCGGCATTTGTTAGTTTACTGCAACCTATTAGGGCTGCACGTGTAGAGGCTGAGACTTTACTGTGGAGCTAATTAGGCAACTGCAGTAAAGGTCTCATGTAGATGCGCCCACTGAAAACTGAATTCAGCCCACTTCTTCAAACCTGCCTAAAAGTTACAATAGTCCAAAAAACCCTTGACTCATTTTAAATGTTCACAGCTGCTTATTTTCCAAATGCCTTGTTCTACAGATGTAAAAAATTCCTCAGGACTGTGGAAGGGGTGTGTGTGTGTGTGTGTGTAACAGGAAGTGTGATATTATATATACTAACAAAGACCTGGCTTCATTCTTTTCTAGGTATTTGGTGCTAGAACATGTGTCAGGTGGGGAGCTCTTCGACTACCTTGTAAAAAAAGGACGATTAACACCAAAAGAAGCCAGAAAGTTCTTCCGACAAATCATCTCCGCTTTAGACTTCTGCCATAGTCATTCAATATGGTGAGTACAGCAGGTTTACAAATAGGTGGTGGCCATGACATGGGGCTTTAGTTTCTGGAAATTTTACTTGCTATTAAGTGATTAATGTTGTGAAGCTTTTTGGAGTCCAGAAGTGCTGTATTAAATGTTGCTGCTTCCTGGCTCAGTCTGTGAACACTGAAGGAGACATACACAGATTGGTCATGCAGAAGATTGCCTGTGACTTCCCTTTGGCCCTGATTGTAATATATGTAAAATGACTCATTTCTGATTTCCATTGGGAAGCCAACCAGACGTTCAGTAGTAAGCATGAGGGGAAGGGGCAGCTGCTGTCGTAATCATTTGTAGCAAATGCTTTATCCAGGAAAATCAAAGCCCAGGGGGATGTATGGCTTCCTTTCCGTGTTTTTGGGTGGCAGATGCCAATAACCAAGAATAATCTATGCTGCATCAGAGGTAGTCCTTGTAGAAACTTGAGACAATTACTAATACAACAGAATTGCTTTATGGCCTCCTCGCATTGTAAGAAACCTGCCGGCATTTGTCAACCTTGTCTAGGCTCCTTCTGGGCATTTGCCTCACTGTTGCCTTCAATTTCCTTTCCAGTAGGGAATAATTTCCTTTATCAGTCCATTATTGATACTTGTTAACTCAGTTGGATGATTTAACGGTTGAGTACAGTTTAACCTGTAACTTTCAGGTGGCATTTTAAATTGAACTAGTTTCCACTTCATCTTTTAAGAAGTTCAGGTAATTTAAATTATACTGAAATTGAGTTGTCACAGCCAATCTGAATGCAGGGTTTCTGTGCAGTTGCTGACCCATAACTGCACACTTATTTCTCAGTAATGCAATTCTTTGCACTCTGGTTGGCTCAGGGGTTATGATTTACATAAAGACTGCACAGTTGTTTCTCAGTAACCGCACACAGCATGCAGATCCCTCTGTTCTGATAGGATGAGGACCATATTAGACAATGAGAGTACGGAGATTTGCATAATCACTGTGTGTTTATTTCTTCATAATCATGCAGTAATTATCTATGTCTCTCTGGTTTTACCAGCTGCTGTCCTCAGAATTCCCTGTCCATATGCCCATAGTGAGAATGGCCACCCAATTGTCTGACCTGCTCTACCCATCCTTACCTAACCCCAAATAGAAAATACTCAATAATTTCAAAGGCAATATGTTTCTAGAAGATATGAGCCTTTCTTCATGAGCAAAGGTAGCAACAGGGAAATACCAAGAAGATCATTCTTATGGAAGGGGCTAGTTCAGAGTTTGGATTATCTGTGTTGGTTACAGGCCTGTGGATTGGGAAGTTCTAGTGCCAGTTGATATGTACAACTTGATAATCAAAAGAGCCTGGAGTTCGCAGAGGACAAGCAATAAAAACATTAGTGCCCTGTGAAAAAAAAACCAATGAAGTGATTGAGAGACTTCCATGGGCTTCATTTGCTTTTGGATCAGGTCCTGAAGGTTTTCTCTGCTAGCAAATGATTCTAGCAAATACATTGTGCTGTGAATTTCAGGTTTTTTGCTTGTAAAAGGATCACGATTACCTCAAATGTAGTTGTTTTTCAGAACTAGCCACTAACTACATAAGGTGATCATTTGCAAATCAAATGAAATTATTCTTCCACTCTGTTCAGCACTGGTGAGGCTTCAGTGCTGAACTGGAGTACTTTGTCCAGTTTTGGACCCCACACTTCAAGAAAGATGTGGACAGTTTGGAGAGAGTCCAGATCAAGGCAACAAAATGATAGGGGACTGGGAGGCAAGACTTAGGACAAAAGACTGAAAGAAATAGCGTTAATCAGCCTGGAGAAGAGAAAACTGAAGGGGGATTTGATACCAGTCTTAAGATACCTGAAGGGTGATTGTAGAAAGGATGTAGATAGACTCTTCTGCAACAGGAAGAATGTAGACTGGAGATTAGGAGGAACTTTCTGACTATGCAAGTAGTCAGGCATTGGAGCAGGGTACCTAAAGAAGCTGTAGAGTCTTTCAAAAACTTTCAAGAGCAGGTTAGACAGACATGTAGCTGGAATGGTGTAGTCAGGGCTGATCCTGTCTTAAGCAGGGGGCTGGACTAGATGACCTTGTGAGGTCCCTTTCAGCGCTACTTTCCTGTGATCACAATTCTTTTTGATCATATACATAAGTATGTGTATATCAATACATAAGTATTTCCATTCTCTGATTGCCAAAATTCAACTCATAGAGATTCTGTTTCCAGAAAGCTTTTAAACATATACACTAAGCACCGTTTTTGAATAAGGATGTTTTCCTGAGTCTGTCCAGGATCAGTCTTCAGGTGTCACGTTGGCTAATTTACAATGCACAATCTGGAAATATTCTCTATTAGTCTCTTACAATGTATTGTCCCCATGAATATTGCTTCTAGTATACTTGCTCACTTGAATATTCCCAGGCATGTCGCACACAAAAGGTGCAGGCACAACCAAAGGTAATTCACTTAAGAATTCAAACTTTTATGTACAGACAAATATTTTCAATATTTGCCTGAATTTAGTGGATGTGCAAGTGTATCTATTAGTCCATAAGGACTATTGTGATGAGTATGGCACATGCAGGAAGATGGACAGCCAGCTCCCGGCATCACTGTCTTTAACAAACTGGGCTGAAGGTTTTAGTGAGGCTGTTGGATGAGTATGTACTTCTGCGAGATTAAGAATTTCTAGGGAATTTTCAGGGATTGAGGATCGCCTCACCAAAGGTTCACCAAATGCCTGTTTGGATTGTGAAGCAATATCCTTCTTGTTAAGAAGTGAATGTTTCCCTAATTTCCTCCCCCACCCCAGCTTTGCGACTTGCTTTCAAGTCAACCTGAAGTAAGGCATGAGCAACCCCGTCCTCCACCGTGTCTATGAGAACCGCGTGTCTCCTGAGACGATGCCAAAGTCTAAACAGTCACCATCAAAGGGGTTTAAGAAATCAGAGTGTGTTTGTGCGTGTGTGTAAAATTTAATATGCTTTCCTACGCAGTGAAGCCTGACCTTGTCCTGTCGTGGGGCAGTGAGATGACAAATCATCTCATCATCCAGGTTATCCAGTTATGACCACACTGAAAAATGAAGGCATCCCTCCTTTGGCTAATGACTGAATGTGGGTGCCTCTAACCCACAGGCAGAATAAATGGTAGCTCTCTGCCCCCCCACCCCATATCATGTCTCATTTTCTTCCACCTTCCCTCCCCTGAAGATACAGAGAAATTCCTAAGGCTCCCAGTTTCTTCTTCATTGTGCTAAGTTCTCCCGTCGCTGCCTTAAACCCACTGAAGGCTTATGATTCTTGCATCAAAGAACCCGTGATGTTTTCCTCATAGTGCCCACCAAGCGTAGGGATTGCCTGTGTCTGAGGATGGGTTTTCAAACTATCAGCCCAAGCAAGGGATAGAATGGATTTGTGATTTGCTTGTGTTTGTCTGAAGGATATTTTACATCAGTAGGAGCTTCCTAGTCTAACTTCTTTTTTTTTTTTAATGGGCACTTGATGCTATCCTCCTCCCAGTAGCAGCTGTAGCAGAAGCTTTTTTAAAAGAGTGGGCTACAGGAGAGTTCACAGCTACCTCAGTTATAGTCCTCCTTTGAAGGACTGCAGGGTCTAGGAATACCGGCTTGCAGGAATTCACAGCTAGGCAGGTTTCATAGGTCAGCGGTATGGGCCTCTGTGACATGGGTTGCATTTTTCAAACATAAATAATGAGGCTCACTGCCTTAATTTTGGGGTGCACATCTGGAGTGGAAAGCCTTAAAAAAAAAAGTTGCTGTTCAGTAAGTGCTGGGAGGCATCCAGCCTCTGAAGAACAAGATCACGAAGGTTGTCCCAAAATCGGTAATCTCTTTTGAACATCACAGAGACCAAGCACATTGTTACTTCAGTCTCAGGTACATTCATTATGAGAATTTGGAAGGAGTGCCGACTGTGAAGGAGCTGAAGCTACATTTGTTCCCAGCACAGTCACCCTAGGTAGGATGCCAGGGCAATGATAATGACAGAGCTCACAGCTGTGCCATTGCTGGGTTTCCCCAAGAGGAGTCCCCTTGCAGGTAGAAAAAGCAGAGGCTGCAGAGAGAAATGAATCTGGAAATACATAGAAGAGAACAGCTAAAACACTCCTGATTGGCTGGGCATGACATCACCAACCAAGCTTGTGATTGGTCTGAGTTGTGTTTTGTGTGTGTTGGGATTTTCCTTTGGTCAAGCTCATATTTGGTTCCTCTATCTTGTGAGCTGACAAATAAAAAGATGATTACAAAAAAGCCCCATGGCAAACCTTATTAAGCTTCAGAGATAACAGATAATGCCAATTACTGCACAGGATAGCAGTGACATTGAGAGGAAATTCCCTCTGGTAATGAGGAGCAGTGGCATTATTTCATTTTATTTCTATTTTGGCTGGGCATGATTTTTTTCAGGGAGTGCATGGTGGGGTTAAGGCAGGTTCTCTATGAATATTGATAAATGACAATTACAAGGGCTTCTTCTTTCATCGCCTGAGGCTCTGTCTGCTTGCGTTTGCAGAGTGCTCACGCTAAAGTGCGTGCGTGTGTGTGTAGATGCAAGTGGGTGCATGACATAGAAGGGACTCAGGCAGTGAAAAAGAGCTTTGTTTGGCTTTGCCCTGCGTTCTTCCCACCAGTGGGGTGGGGAAAGGGCTGTTATGAAATAATACTTCAGGATTGCAGCAATATCCAAGACTCCCCCAGCACGATAGGGAACCACAGCCATTCCTAGAGTACTGCAGCAGTCTTTGATTAAAGGGAAGGGCAGGCAGAGGGAAGAACCTGGGATGTCCTCAAGAAGCAGCAGAGATCAGACAGAGTACTGTGCACCTTTAGGAAAGACCTCAGGCTTGCTCTGGAAAACGGTATCCGCTTTCTAGCAACAGCAGTTTTGCCCTCCCTTCTCTGTAAAGAGTGCATGACAGTATTTTGTAGGGATTGTCTAGTGAATGCATAGGATTATGTGCACTAGGACTGTTGAGCAGTCCTGAG